AGAGGCCTGTGAGGGCGGGAGCGACCGGCCTGGCGTTTGCAGGCCTGGGGGCGCCCCTCGGAGACGTCCCCGCTGCGCTGAAGCAGGGTTGGGGGCAGGGGTTTAGTTCTCGGCTGCCGAGAAACACGGGCTGCTTTGAAGGAACATCCTTAGGTCGGGATCTGCCAACACGATTCCCACACGTTAACCACTGACCTACGCGGTGATGGAGTAGTGTGTGATCATGTGGTTATGGGGGGATCACGTGGGGTGTGGGGATCATATGGTATATGGGGGTCATATGGTACATGGGGATCATATGGTATATGGCGATCATATGGTATATGGGGGTCATATGGTATATGGCGATCATATGGTATATGGGGGTCATATGGTATATGGGGGTCATATGGCACGTAGTGCTTCCACGCATCAGCAGGGCGGGCATTGCCCTCGGCCATGAAATCAAAGCATCACCCTGGAAGGTGCTTGCATCGTTCCCTCAACTGAGTACACTGAACCTGAGCGCATAAAGACCGTAACAAGCTGGGCTCCATTGGTTTTCTCTCTGTTTTGTTTCAGGAGGAGTCGAAGAAAAAAAATTGTGGATTTAGGCTTTTCACCCTGTGGATCGGGGGGAGCCGGGCGTGCTGGCATCCCCTCTGCAGGGATTTCTCCCTGAAATGGCCAGCGGGAAAGGATTTTTTGACGCTTGGCCGTTTATGTCCCGTTTTCTCTCTTCCTCAGCAGATGGCAGCAATGGCCTTTGACAGGGACGCGTTGCGTGTGCATGCAGTACCATTTGCAGATTCACTTTCCAAGATTGATCATTTCATCAAAAAAAAAGGTTTCGATTTGAATGATAATTACTTTGGATCCCCTTAATTATTTCTAAAACAATGCAAAGAAACTCAGAATAGTTATGTTTGACTAGAAAACCTGAAAATTACAGCTCACATTTTACTGGATAAGTGAATATATATTTAAATATCCCAAATGAAACAACAGTCTACAATTGGCAATGAGTGCAACCCTGGCTGCAAAACAGGCTGATCTATTTTCATTTGTAAGCAAAGTATATTTTGGAGAGGAAACGACCCCCTTTGAGACATTTGTTCTCAGATGGTGTAGCGCGTGCCTGTCGCATAGGAAGGAACTTGAGTGAACTTGCCGAAGAAGTTTCTCCCATTATGAAGTTCAATGGCGTTGTTCTCCGGCAGCGCCGTGCAGTATTTACACATTTACATGATGTTGCCGATTAATTATTACATTATTTCTTAGTCTCATCTCTTCATTACTTAGTCTGAGTTAAAGGGTTGTCCTTTTCTCTGTATTCACACAGATTGATGCCATCAGTGTGATTACAGTTTAGTATTTATCCATGTATACATATATATGGATATGGCCTATACCATGTTTTCAAATATAGGCTCAAGGATTTTTATTTTAAGTAACTAGGCCTCAATTTATGCATATTGTCCAAAGGAGGGTATTCTTGCCATTTGGTAACAACTTACAATTTTGATTTAGGGAAAACTGCAAGTAAATTGATCTGGGTGCAATCTGTATTTGTCAGTAGTCTCTAGACTGACAGATCCGATGCCATCTGATATCTGAAGCAGTATCTTCACATTTTCTGCCCTTTATGCCATTACTTCTACTTAAAAAGTGAGACAAAGGTCCTTACATTAAGGACTTTGTGGTGCCCCAAGATGTGAATTCATCCAGTGTTCTTTTCAGAAACACATCCATATGGACTGAAATGCCAGGAGTGTGAATGGCTTGCTCAGACCCAGGAGCCTGGGTACAGAAAGCTCTTATTCTTTGTGCAGAAATACCCTACTGGGCAGCCACAGTGGGCAGCACAATGCTGAAGAAACAACAGGGTAAGGTGGTTTGCCCATGTTGAGTTTGGTTTTCAGTGTCTCAGCACAGGACCGGGGCTAACCATCCCTTTGTGTGCCAGTACATAATCTGTTAGTAAGAGCCAGCTTTAAGAAAACTGAAAAGCACAAAAGGTCATTTGATTCCAAAATAAATATTGCATGTTTTGACTTTTTTTTGACAATCAAGATTTTAAAAAACAACCTAAAGAATGAAGAAGTTTAAAAAGTTGCCACCAGTTGCCACTTTACTACCACGGCTATGGAATTTAGGGTCTCCGCAGAGTGAAGGAGCGCTCTGGTGTAGGCATTGAACTGGGACTCTGGTAGCCTCCCGTGCCGTAGGCTCACTGTTTGACATGAACCAGTCATTCAAATCCTCCATATTAAGCCA